TTTGCCAAGAGATTATCTGAATTGCAAGTTGTTGTGAGGGATTTTTGGGCAATTGGTTTTTTTTTTTTGGTTATATGATTGTTTGCCAAGAGATTATCCAAATTGCAGGGATTTTTGGGCAATTGAGTTTAGTGAATCGAAGTGGGTTCGATGGAATGTATTTGCTAGGTTCTGTTCTGTCGAACTTCAATGAAAATGGAAAGAACACCGTTTATGAAAAGAATAGAAACAGTAACCGATGGGGAAAGAAGCAATTCTTAGTGGTGATGTGGGACTCATTTGGATGGATTTGGTGCGTTTTCGCCAGGTAGCATGTGACATGGCAAAAGTTTTATGCAAATCATCACCTTTTTAAGTTTTGCCCTCCACATCATCAAAATAAAAATAAAAATGCCACCTAAGCAGGGTTAATGACCCAAACTAACAAAAGGACTAACGGAATGCATTTCGTATAGTTGAGGGATCAAAAAAGTGTAAAAAATTGTTGAGGGACCAAAAATGTGCAACTCACTAAAGTTGAGGGGACCAAATTTAGCATTTAACCTAAAAATTATATCCCATCTCACCTAAACTTGGTAATTTTTTACTCAATCCGTTAACCTACCCGTTACCCGTCAATTTAAAACGAATTATGAACAGATATTTATGAGCCATGACTCATTAATAACCCGTGCAACGGGTCACGGATCAATAATGGATTGACCCATTGAATTAACGAGTTGACTCGTTTACTCATTTAAAAATTAAAAAAATTTTAATTTAATATTTATTTATTTTGTTTTTCAATTCCTAATTCCACTTAAACCTCTAATAATTGACTAATTTTTCCTAATTAGCTAATTGATTGTCTTAGCAAAAATAGGTGTGTGGTCTTAACGTTGTTTTTTGAAGGGAAGTGGAGAAGATGATTTTGAGGAACTGTAAATATGTTTTATTATATTAATGGGGAAAAAATATCTTTATAAGATGTTGAATTACATTTTTTAATCTTTTGAATAATTTTTTTGGATGATAATAAGTACAAATTATAAAGAAAAAAAAAATTCAATTGAGTCAACCCATGACTCATGATGGGTGGATTAGGATTAGTTTTCATTGACTCGTGATCCATTTTAAACTAACTCATTTTAATTTGTGACTCATTTTAACTCGACCCAAACCCAACCCAACTCGCCCATCTTGCCAGGTTTAATCCCATCGAATCCCATGGGGGAGGTGGACTTTTATCACGTAAGGTTTGGATAGGACAAAATGTATGATACATTTTATCCAATCCCATGGCACCACTAAACGCAGGTTACACTAAGATGAAACTAATTTTTATCTCATCCCATGACTTGTCCGGTCTCCCAAATGTGCTGTTAAGGGTTAAGTCTATCTAGAAAATCTAGTAAAAACTTTAAAATGAAATCCTTCATACCTTCTACTCTTAATGTCTTTGGCCTAAGCCATTGTTGCTGTTTTTTCCTTCATTTTTGTGCATTCTCCCCTTATATCTACTCATTGTTTATAGTCCAGCATCTTCTTCAATTTCCCCTTCATTCCTGCAAACGCATCATGCTAAATAATTGATGAATACCAAAACCAAAATCATAAAACTGAAATTTTGGTCACCAACACCGAAGAAATAATGGATTTCTGGTAACGGTTTTTATCTTAAAAAAAGGTAAAAAAAAAAAAAAA